AATGGTTGGTTTTCATTTACTACTATTATATAATAATAATACTGATTTCTGAACTTTTTTTTTTGAACTTTCAGAAAATATTTATTATTTCTGGAAGTGTTTTTGTAGACTCTTCAGGACTTTCTATGTAATTACCCATATCATCTGCAGTCTTATTTAATTCTTTCCAATCCTCATGCTCCTAATTTCTTGTTATTTTGCAATGTATTTCACTGGCTAGAGCTTATGGTGAAATGTTGAATAGACATAGTAATAGCAGACTTTATTCTCTTGTTAATATTTTGGGAAAAATATTATATATATATTTCATTATAAAATATATTAACTATGTAGTTTTGCTGCTGCTTTTTTATCAGATTGATGAAGTTTATTATATTAGTAGTTTGCTGTTTTTTAAAAATAATTATGACTAGGTGATGAATTTTGTCAAATAAATTTTCTGCACGAAATACAAAAATAATATACTTTAAAAATTTTTGTTGATTTAGAGAACTGTACTGATTGACTTCCAAATGATAAAACAGTCCTGTGTCCCTAAAATAAACCCCAGATAGTCTGGATTGTTATCTTTTCAATATAGATAACTATATATCACAAGGAAATATTTTCTTGAGAATGTTTATATCTATATTCATGAAATAAATTATTCTGTAATTTTTTAAACTTCTTTGTCTGGATTTGGCACCAGGGTTATGTTTACCTCATGCAATGACGTGCTAGGATTTCTCCAACCACTGCTATTTTAAATAGTATTTCTTCCTTGAAAATACTTAGTGGAATTAATCTGTATGTTTTCCATTTAGACTTGTATTTTTTAAATTTGTGTTGGTGGTGATTTTTAAAAATCATAAACCTACAGATCTAAAATGTTTGGATTTCTGGTTTCTTGTTACTACCCTTTAATTTATAACTATTTCCATTAGAAATAGCCCCTTTCATATCTGAGTAGCTACTTTCCTGTAATTGATTGGACTCAAAGAGCATACATGCTATTCATATCACTTTCAGTCTGAACTGATATAATTTTTCTTAAAATGTGTGAATATTTTGTGTATCAAATAAAAATACACCCTGGAAAGCAGTTGAGTACTTGCTCCCCAGCATATGTTGTCAATTTGGCTCTAATAAATACACATAAAAAAACTTATATAAGAATTCAAGATAATAATCCTATATAATAAAAGAGAAACATGCAAATTGACCATACCCCGAACGCTTCCCATTGGCTAATCAGGACAATATGCAAATTAACTGCCAACCAAGATGGCGGCCGGCAGCCAGGCAGCTGAAGTGAACAGGATGCTTGCTTGCTCCAGTGATGGAGGAAGCCAAGGTTCCCCACCTAACGCCGCCCAGCTCTTAGCTCCGGATGCAACAATGTTGCAATTATAGAAGTTAAACAAGCTCCAGAAACCTGCTTTCAGCGGCAGCGGGCTCAGAGCTTAGAGCAGCAGTGATGGCAACAGAGTTTCAATTATAGAAGCTAAACAAAGCCCAGATATCTGCTTTCAGCAGCCGAGGCCTCAAGCTGGAGCCAGCCTCAGAGCTAAAGCCAGCTCTCAGCTCCAGTGACAGCCATAGAAAGTAAATAAATCCCAGGGTATAAAAGAAAAAAAGAAAAAAAGGAGAGGATGGGAGCTTCAGTCACCCGCCAGCCTGAAAACAGCCCTCAGCCCCTCACCCAGACTGGCCAGGCACCCCAGTGGGGACCCCCACCCTAAAGGGGGTGTGGGCAGCCTAAAAACAGCCATCAGCCCGTCATCCAGGCTGGCCAGGCACCCAAGCGGGACCCCCACCCTGATCCGGGGCACCCTTCAGGGCAAACCAGCCGGCCCCCACCCGTGCACCAGGCCTCTATCCTATACTACAGGCAGGGCGGGACAGTGCGAGCTGCCATCTGGACCCCATGTGCAGCCCTGGGCAGCGGGGCATAAGCACTGCCCCCAGCCGGGACCCCTATGTGCCACCTGAGCCCCCAGCCGGGACCCCTGTGCTGCCTAAGACCCGCACTGCTAAGCCCTGCTCCCAGCCAGGACCCTATGACTATAGGAGAGCAGGAAAGTGCCGCTGGGCCCTGGGTTGCTGTGGTGATCCGGCCATCGGTAAGTAGAAAAGTGTGGCCTGTAGGCAGCCCCCAGCTGTGCCTGATCAGGGAGCAGGAAAGTCTGGCCTTAGGGCAGCCCCAAGCTGGGCCTGATCCAGGAGCAGGAAAGCCCGGCCTGCTGACAGCCCCCGGCTGGGCCTGCACCCCGGTTGCCATGGAGACCTGGAAGCAGGAAAACCCAGCCTGTGGGCAGCCCCCAGCTGGGCCTGCTCCCCCGTCACCATGGCGATCCTGGAGCAGGAAAGCCCGGCTTGCAAGCAGCACCCCCATCCTGGCCATAGCTCAAGGGAGAGTACAACATGCAGTGGAGGCCAGGAGCCTGAGAGATCAACACAGAGGGACTCCTGCTCCAAGCTTCCATGGTGTGGCTGGGGGCAGGACCCCAGCAGACACACACACACACACACACACACACACACACACACACACACGGGACGCCTGCTCTGAGCCTCTGCTGCCAGACTGTGGCCATCAGTAGGACATCCACTGAGGGCTCCTGGACTGTGAGAGGGGCAGGCTGGGCTGAGGGAACCCCCACCCCCCAGTGCACGAATTTCGTGCACCAGGCCTCTAGTAATAATAATAATACTAATAATGCCCTATTAAATAAAGGCCACACCCACAAATCTTTTTGAGATAAGCATTTTTCTATATTGGGTTGGTGAGGCTGCCATGGAATAACATATTTAAGTAGCCTTTTTATTTGAGAGTTGTAAGGCATTCCAATACAATACTTAGAAGGATTTTGTTTAGATAAAGCTATCTAAGAGGCATCACTTCAAGTTTTACTGAGATTGTCACAGAAGGGTTTTTACATTCATGTGCTTGAGTTAATTTTATTTGAGAACAAATTTTATTGCTTAATATCTCAAATTTGGCTGTTAGACATTTTTTTTACTTTAAGAATATTTTTCTAGAACATATAGGAATAATAATTATTTTCTTTTGCAAACCAAAAAAAAATAATAACTGCTTTACTTTTGCTCTACATTTTCCTTAAAAATTGATTATTACCATCTTCTTATATTTAATCATAGGTAATGTAAGTCACCTACATGCAAATCTTTACAATCTACCTAGAAATCTTGCCAATCAGAACTATGAATTATATTTTCCACATTACCACAGCCAGTAATGATGCCAAGTAACTCATTAATTCAAAATAAAACTAAATTTTCCAACTTATAATAATATTATTTTGAATTGCTCACCAACTGTCTTCTGAAGACAGTTTTATCATATACTGATAGTTTTCAATAGTTTCCTACAGTTCTTTCTACCACACATCATCCAATGCCAAAGCTAATGCCACACATATTTAGATACTTGTTATATAAGTACACCTTCTGGTATCAAATTATTTTCATTTACATATGAGAAAGATATATAGATGTGATAGATGTATGATGGTAGATAGCTAGATAATAGATAGCTAGATAGATAGATAGATAGATAGATAGATAGATAGATAGATAGAGGGAGCTGTGTAAGCAACTACAAATTTAGTAACTTAAAACATTCATTTAAAATTGATCATTGTGTGGGTCATCAATTTGGGAAGGGCTTAGTTGTGTAGTTGTGGTTTTGTGCCTCAATGTAATCAAATTTCATACAGAGCAAATGAGTTTCAACAGAATAAGTGGTCCGAGAAAGAGAACCCAGAATTTATATTCTAAAAGACCCAGTCATCCGTAGTAAGACTATGGCAGTCCCAGAATCTCACTTGCGAACATTTTATTGATTAATCATATCACTAAGGTCAACCTAGATTCTAGCAAAGGAGTGGTCTCCTCTGCTCACTGGGGAAATGGCATGTGTGTGGATGAACAGAAGCAATTAATTTCAATTGATTTCACCATAAGCTACTGCCAGTTAATTGTTACTACTAAAATGGAAATAGTTTGATAATGCTTAAATATTATAATGTTTTAATTTAGTAATCTATTACACATGGTCTTAAACAATGAAATGAATGTGGAAATGTTATGAACTACCTTTGGCACAAAATCTGGAAAAACCTGCTTTAATTATGTGCAAATTTAGGTTTTTATATAAAGTCTGGCCCTACGCATCATTGGATATGCTGGTTTGCTCCAAGATCCATTCCTGCAGTGAACAAAAACAATTATAGGATACTACATTCCCCAGTTCATCGACTATTTGTCTTCTCATTAGATTTAGCCAATGGAAGTCACTGGATACAATTTAGAGTATCAGAAGAGTAAAATATCCATGGTTTTTATCCCCTTTCCTCTCCTACATCACTAATAATGGCTGTGAATGCTCCATATCTCTACCTCATGCCAGACAGCACCTCTCCTTGTAATGTACATACTAATATATAGATTTGACTAAAGTTATATGTCGTTCCACATGGCTCAGATTCTGGTTCCAGAAATGTCACCTCCTTTTATTGTCCCAGTAGGCCCAAGAAGTAATGGATTTCTGCTGTTGCTAATCTTGAGTTTGCTTCACAATTCCCTGATTGGTTTTTATCTCTGCTATTAACTATGTTCTATTACATTACTCTCTGTAAGTAAAACATAAGTTAAATAGACTGTCAAACCTCAGAGGGAAGGTAGGGGAGGGTAGGGGTAAGGGGGAGAGATCAACCAAAGGACGTGTATGCATGCATATAAGCCTAAACAATGGACACAGACAACAGGCGGGTGAGAGCATGAGTAGGGGGATGGAGGGGCAATGGGGGGATAAGGGCACATATGTGATACCTTAATCAATAAAGAAAAAACATGACTATATATGATTTACTATTTGATGTTCAGACATAATCTAAATATAAATCTATAGACAAAGCAGCATTTATTTCTTTAATTCAATAAGTTAAGATGTGTTTTAATTGTGTTTTCAATTTGCTTTTAATACTTACCAAGATTACGGGCTTGGCCTGGTGTTGTTGCAACAGCTAGAAAATTGCCACTGTCAACACTCCCGCCAGGAAATGAATCTTCTACATTTTGGCAATTTGGAGGTAAATACTTGGGGTTACAGTGGCAGTTTTTTTTATTATTGCATACCTGAAAACAGGAAAAAATGTCACTTTATAATATAAATAGTTCAAATTATTTGTGTACAAGTAGAATTTTAAAATAATACTTAAGTCAGATAAGACCAATTTTCTTATGTGGCTTATGAGTACATGAGTGTGTGTGTGTGTGTGTGTGTGTGTGTGTGTGTGTGTGTGTTTAGCTGTGTGTGTGCTTTCCTAGGATCACTCTCAATGATACCTATTCTTGTGTGTCATAAGACTGGTACTTACACCTTGATTGCTGCATTTTTGTGGAGTGCAGTCATAACCCAAGTCATTATCTACACACTTCTGTTGCTTGCACAACTAAAAAAGGAAATAAGCCAAAGTAAGTTAAAGGAAATGGCATCTGTATTTGTCATCTAATTAAGAGATATTGGTTTAAGAATAAATATTAATTTACTAAAAATCAGTGAATAATTTATAGTGCTACTATGTTTTTAGCACTAGATAAAACTCTGATTATCTGAGAGTAAACAAAACATTAAAAACATCTTCCCTGCTTTTGCTGGGATGGAAGGTACAGACCTGAAATAAATAAAATCAAAGATTAACATGTGATAACTAGTATAATGAAAAAAAATAATTAAAAATACAGGGAATTTACTAATATATGAGAAAAGTAAAATAGTATGGAGCACTAACATTGAACAGAATTTAATCAAGAATAGAAATGAAAGACAGGTACTTGTAGAAAAATATTTAAAATGACCCTAAATTGGAAATAGTATGGAACCTTTGAAAAATATTAAGGGCAATGTAGCTATTACACAGAAAACAGCCAGTGAATGATTGATTAATATTTGCGTTCTACAATGTGCTTGGCCCTGAAAACACACACACACACACACACACACACACACAATTCTATTGTTCATATTACAGTAAAAATTATAGAAACACAAACACAGACCAAAAAAAAAATCCCTAAGCGTGATGGGAGTGAAGTTGTTATGGTAGGTTTGTGTAGGACCCTCTGATCTCAATCAGAAAGTTGGCCTATTACCTATAAGCAATTGGTTTTATTTAGAGATTTAATTGAAAATGGGAAACCAATAAAAGTAGGTTTTGGAAAAGAAGATGGAAAGGCAAAAGAAAATGTAGAGAGATAAATTAGAATGTCATTACAATAGTTCAGGAAAATAACCATAGAGTGAAATTGAGTGGTATTAAACTTTAGATGAAAACCAGTAGTTATATTTAAGATATAGTTAAAAAGTTTTATCCACCTAAGTTTAGTGATATATATGATGGAAAGAGAGATGGGCCAATGACAACAAGGTTTCTAGGTTGTCTAACTCTTTTGGTTGTGGTACAATGAATTGAAATAGGGAAAGCTGGGCATAAAGTTCAAAAGTTTACAATATTTACAAAATTATTTTTAAAGACTTCTTTCAAGTTGTAATATTAAGTAAAACTATGCTTTAAAAGTGAAAAATAATGTTTACTGCACTCATAGAAAGCCTTAGGGTAACTGATAATAAACCAAATAACACATAATTGGAAATATTATTTTTACAAAAGTTTTCTAAATAACATTGGCAATATTTCTTTGGGATTCTTTTCTCTTGAAATATGTATGACCATAATGTACTAATTTTTAAGGCCGGAGAGTGAATAGAATCTGCTCACATAGATTTTGCTAAACATTACTGAGCATGGGGAATACATTATTGATAGTGTCTGATAATTATAGCAACACATAACTCTAAGACTTAGAAAGAAATATACTGATGACAAGTATAGTCAGGTTAGTTTGAGTGGTTGTGGGAATAGTCTAAACGTTCTAGCTCTGGATAGAGATTAGTGTGCCTGCAGTTAAAAACATATCTCTTCTGTTAGAATGATCCCTTAACAACTAACTAGAACTTAGGCAGAGAAGTTAGATATATAATTATCAGAGCTGTTGTCCAGAAGAAGATAAACCTAATTCTCAGAATTGTTAAATAAATTCTTTGCGTCACACTAGAAAGTTGAGAAGGAATTATTGATATTGTTTCTGTGCAATAAAATTATTTTTTTCTGATTTAGCCTGTTTACTTCTGTTATATCATGGAGGAAGGCTAGGGAGAAACACCATCCAAAGTAGGAATCTATAAAACTGCAAAAATTATTTATCTCCACATAAGAATAATATAATGAAAATAATTGTTCTTCATCAAACTCTCCTAAACACATATATTTTTTAATTTTTATGAGACAATAAATATAATGCATCTTCTTATTCTTGTCACTTAGGCATAGTATGTTTCTGTAGAAACATTCTTGTATGGAGTGCCTAAAATGATGAGTAACACAAACAAAAAATGTAT